AATTAAACATCTGTTTGTATTCTACAACACTTAGTGAAGAATAACAAACCTCTGGTTCCAGACCTGTTTGTGAGTTAGCAGGAACACAGCTGGTGGCATTCACCATAATCCAAACCCATGGAGCAGTTAAGCTCCCTGGCATCTACCAAATGCATCCTCTACTAAATTGACCAAGATGAATCTAGACAACAAAAGTTACTTGGGACCAGATAACACTTCAAGGTTGTCTGTTGATTACACAGATTTGCATGCTCCTGTTTTTATTCATATTAGTTCTTCTGGTTAATGTGCAACCTATTTTGATTTGAAATAAGAAGTGTTGAGAATAACTATCTCAAATTACAGAATAGGATATGAATCAGCATTCTAGCTTCTTCAAAGAAACGGCAGCCACATTTTTAACACCAATATTATCTTGTCTTTTGCATTATTTCCTTTTTAAGTAGCCCCATTGTTTTATGTTTTCTTAGATTTTTATACCCTGTCTATACAATTTTTCATCAACATATCTGGACCTAGGGATGCATTACCATATAAGCCTTGTGCAGGAAGACACAACACATTTGCCAACAGTGTGTGTTTTCCATGGGTATGTCCAGGTTTTGAAGTATTGAACCTGAAAATGTGTGTCCCTATCACATACCTGGTTGTGAACACTCTACGGTACATGGCACAAGGTGTTGTTCTGCCACTGATATTCTGAATCTGCAGTGATTCTGTGAGCAAAGGAACAATGTCTTGTTCATCCAAACAGCAAAGGAGTGGCACATGGAAACAAGTGAGAAGTTTCTTTGCACTTCTTAGAGATCTTGATGCAGGCAAATTGCTAACAGCAACAGGATTTCCAGTGTGCCATGGGACTTTTAAAAAATTGCTTCTGTTTTGGAATGTTACATTATTTTCCTACTATATATTTGTGTTATCGTGACTTTTATGTTTTTATAGAGAAATATTTAAATAGAAAAATCAGAATTTGTAGCTTAGTAAATATGACATAATAGGATTGGAACATGCTACCGTCCTCAGGTGTTGGAACTATGAACAGAGTAATGTGCCCTACATAAAAAAATCTGAATGAAAGAAAAGTATCCATGCTTATGCTAACAAGATCAGTTTCCATGTTATTTTTCTAGTAAAGTCTAAACAATATAAAGGGAATCATAACACTAATTGTGAGTGCACATAGAGATTTGACCTTTTTCAGTCTTATCCATGAAACCTAATGAACTGTTCTTTAGAGCTACGTTCTGAATGTTCAGAGCTTAAAGTGACAGTAAACTCAGGAGTTAAATCTTAAAAATCCATTCAAGTACCCTAACTAATAACAAAAATATAGCTTATTTGTGTATCACTCGGCTGTAGATCCTTAAATCATCTCTGAATTGGTGCTGACACTGTCCTTCCATCTGGAGGGGAGATACTTGTTCCCTATGGTCCCTGCGTGTGTTGTAAAGTAGCCACCACTCCAAGCTCGCTCCTGTCATGGACTATAATTTCACGTTTAGTTTACTAATTTGTATTGAGATTGTGGTCTATCATGTGAGCGAGCTTGGAGCTGTGGCTACTTTACAACACACACAGGGACCATGGGGAAGAAAAGTAGTCACCCTCAAGAAGGAAGGACAGCGTTAGCACAAATTAATTGATGATTTGGGCATCTACAGCTGAATGATACACAAATAAGATACATTGTTGTTAATAGTTAAGGTACTTGAATGCATTTTTAAGATTTAACTCCTGAGTTTAGTGTCACTTTAAAGCACCTGTGTGACATTAACCATAAACGTTATAAGTAAAAAAATATTGCATTTCTTGGCCACTTTAAAAAAGCATAGCATAGCTTGCTGCATATGTTATGCATATGCTGCTGTAATTAATTCTAATGTGCAAAATATGATTTTACTATTTTAAATTAAGCATACATAAGTGACACCTCCTTTCAAATACAGCACAACTCCCCTGCTATTTAAACATGCCTTGCTGTGGAATGTAAACTCTGACTAACTTTATTTGTTCCGCACATATATTCTTGGCACAGGTGAATTTATTGTACATCACACACCTCTATCTATGTTACCAATGTAACAGACAGCCCCCAACCTCCCTCTAACTTCTCAATGAAAAAAACAGCTGCCATACAAACCTTCACATTATTAATATTACTCCAGAAATTAGAAGGGTGAAGAAGTGGACACTACATTCCACCACTCATCTGCATAATTTATTTAGTTTAGATCAGTCAGAAGAATTATAAAGGCTTTTTTTTGGTAAAAAAAAGATAAAACATTAGAATATTTTCACTGGAATTTTTAACTTCTAGTGTGAGTTCTGAGTCTTTAGTTCTGAGCGTTTAATACAATCGAGTTGTTTCTGAAAGTGTGAACACATGTGTACTATTTACTTTAGATATTGATGAATGCTTGTCACACTTTGATACCTGTGAACCACACAACGCAGAATGTATCAATATGGAGGGTGGTTATATATGTCGATGCATAGATGGTTTTAATGGAAATGGCCTTCAGTGCACAGGTAAGTAAAGCCAATATATCTTACACATGGGTGAATAAAGCGCCTTTTACAAACGCACTTTATGACCTATTACTGTATGGTGTTTTACAGTGTAAAACCAATCAGTCAGCAATTATCTTTTGTTGATGTGGATACTGTTAAACGCTGTAATAAGAAATATTAGTTGCTGCTGGTTTCTAAAACTGTCCTGCCTGAACTGCCCTGATTAACAAGCCTGGTGGCCTTAGAAAGTGAGTTAATCATGAGGATAATCATGCAGTAAAAATGTGCACATTATATGTCATTACATCTGGCTATAGAGATACCTTCACATACAGATGTATTGCTTATTATAATTTCAGAATATAAAGAAAACGTGATGTCAAAATGTAGCATAACACTCCTTGCTCTTAATTTGTTAATTGTTTCTTTCATAGCCTACAGACAAGTGAACATTGCCTCAGCCTCAGATCAATGGCTAAAGCCTAAGATTTTCCATGCTTATATCTGCACTTCTGTTCATTTCCTTTGGCAGCTGTAACAGAATAGATACAAATAGAACAAGTGCATAGATTTATTGGAAATCTTTATTATGAATACAAGGCTCAAATCTACAATGACCCAGTAGTTAAACTCATCAAATAACTGGTTCTGATGAATAGTCATGAGAGTCATTGAGCTGACAATGACATACTCACCCTACAATGAGGAAATGAGGAACACACATATTTAGATTACATGTTTTTTGCTTTTTAAAGGATAAGTGCACTTTAAAACAAAGTGCACTCATCCTTTTGGCCCCTTTAAGGTGACGTCACCTCTCCCTTCCTTCTCATGCAGTTAAATTCTTACCGAGTTCCAACTGGCTCAGCCTTGGTTGTTGACATCCTGCAGTGGATGTCTCCTTCTCTTCACTGTGCTGCACAGTAAATCTACATTTACTTATATGGGGCACATCAACCTCCATCTCCTGGCTGGAAGACAAGCCCCATGGAAGTCAATTCAATTTACTATGCAAGTGCAGAGAGGAGAAGTCTTCCGCAAGATGTCAACAAACAAACCAGGCTGTGCCTTTTGGAAATTCAGTAGTTATTAATCCCTGCACGGAAAGGGAGAGAGAGGTGATAATGACTCATACTGTATACTGCATGAAATAAAAATGAGCATATGAGCATTATTTTACATATACATGCTGTGTAAAACAGCCTGATAAAATCACTCAGCTATGCAAAAAATGAGCCACATCAAGCATCTGTGACATGCTAGAAGTAATTCTTGTATCACAACTCTGCCTAGCATTTGTTTTGTATTGGAGTAGATGTATGAACTGTTGGTCCTACCAACAGCAGGTAGGAATCTGCTTCTTATGCTTTCCCTCTTTATTCCTACATGTGCATAAGGGGTGTTTACAAGTGTGTCCCCATTCCTTTCACCGTAGTATAGTAACAAATAGAAACAGTCAAATAAAGAGGTGTCAAGGCCATTCTGTGGAGGCTAGATAGTATGCTGGTTAAACTCAAGCAAGTAGAAATTGGATATAAAGATTGATAGGGTATTAAAGGAAACTATATTACTGCTGCTGCTGTATGTTCTGTGACTCCTTAAAAAGAAAATTATGTTGCTGCAGAATGACCTGTAACGTATAAAATAATTTTTAATGTAACAAGTTAATATACCTACTGGTGTTTGTTGGAGACTTAGAGACTTGTCATGTGAGTACTGTGCTTTGTTTCACCAGTACCTGGATAAGTACACTCCCCTAATGCATACCCACCTACATCCTGTTTCAAAAGTTTTCTGTATGATGGCTATGCCCGTGCAGTAGTGTCCCTTAGTCTTCTATGTGGCCATCTCCATCTCTGGTTTTTGGACACAGCACCACACTAGTCTAAAGGACTACTGTGTAGGTATTATCAGACCTTTGAATAAGATGCAAGCAGATGCTGGAGGCTTCACCACCGGAAACAATACTTCTTACATATACATCACATGTTTCAGTATATCACAGTGCATCTAAGTTTAGGTCAGAACAAAAGAGGACAGAGCATGAGTGCTCTTGGTTTTTCAAGTGAAGGGAAGCAGCAAGTCTTTGCATGGTTAGATCCCGATCCATAAATGAAATGTTTTTTGATGTTTCAATTAAACAATAACAAAGGGTTGTTGTAGTAAAGTAGTAAAGAGCTTGCCATGCATAATTTATTATATGATATAGTTACTCGCGCATAGTCTGTATTAGATGTTGTTAAATGAAAGCTCATTAACTTAATAAATATAATTTGGTAAATTTGCCAACACAAATAAAACACATATATGCATCAAATATATGATTCCATGTTGTTATAGTCTGTATTAGAATTGTATTTACTGGAAGCCTTTGTCTGGTAGATATTGATGAATGCACGCTGGGCACTCACGGATGTGGAGATGAGTTCCTCTGCTCAAACACTCCGGGGAATTACACCTGCACATGTAGTAATGGGATTCCTGGAACTACAGCTAACTGCCCGGGTGAGTTGTTTCACAGAAGCCCGACACTGGGAAAAGTGAAGTGAGCACAGGGATCATGGTTAACCAAAGAAGCCTTACAATGGAGCCAAGGAATCACTGCATAGTTAATAAGCTTTTCATATGTCTCCTGCTGCTGTTTGGGAATAATCTTCTGAAATCTCTATAATCATAATTGTTTCTTAAGTCTCTTCATTTTCCACTTCTTTTCATTTGGTATAATTGACATCCAGTGTTAGAGATTTAAGTGATTAACTATATAAATTGTTCTGTTTTCCTTCAGATTGTATTATATTATTCATTCATACTTTCAAAGTTTTTAAAGCCCTGAATACTTTAGTTCTATTATTTAGACAGTAGTGGTGTTATAGGACCTCAGTATTCTACTACTGTCCATCTATTTTTTAAATCTACTTTTAAAGTTTTTTTTTTATTGTAATGCTTCTTGTGTATATGTAAGTGCAGCCATTGTGTTATTAATTATGTATGTGCTTTTATGCACTTCCAGTAACATATACAGTACATTGAAGTCAAACAGCTCATGAATATAAATTATGATGTTACAATGTATGGTGGTTGCAGCTACACTTGAAATAGAGTTGGTTGGTATGAAGGTATATGTTAAAAGTCCATCCTTATGAAACAATCAGCACATTCCAAACAAAATGGCTGGATACAATGTAATTTTATCGGCTCTGTTAACAGCAAACAGCAACACTCGGAAACACACTCATGACTGTGAGCAAATTAAGTGAAATGACAGTAATTTTGTTGGGGATGAGCTGATCCTTTTTTACAATGGCTTGGTACTAGTGAACATTTACTTTGCAAAGTGAATAGCTTGTATTCTTTTAGTAAATAGTTGTAACACACAGATTGCACTAAAGCTCTAGTCAGTACCTCTGCAAAGCCCAGTTGTAGTGGAGCTATGACATAAATGTGTTGGAGTCACAATCCTGCAAAGCTCTGACCCATTCCTACTAAGCCCTGCATTTTTTTATGGAGGTGCCATGACATATATACGAGGCAAGTGTGTGAAATGGTTCCTAAGGACAAGAGGCCTTAGCAGTTCATACATCTTAATTTCAGTTTGTGCATGTGCCAAACTATGCTGTGTTTTGTGCCATTATTACCTTCTTAAAATGGAAGGTGTTTACCTGTCATCACATCCATCACAAATAAATAAGACTTTATTCTGCACTTTTGGGAGGTTAGTGGAGCTGTACAAATAATTCTTTCATGCCCCAGTTTCCAAGTGCATATCCTGAACCGGTGGATTATACTGTAACCGAGATACAGCTTAAAATATAAAGCCTCTATCATATCAGAAAATAATATAATATATTGCTCCATGCGTATTCATTTATGTTTGGTATTTATATAGCACCAACAATTTACGCCGTGCTTTATATAGTGCACATTCACATCAGTCCCTACCCCCAAGGAGCTTACAATCTAAGGTCCCACAAGGGCCAATTTACCTTCCAGCATGTGTTTGGAGTGTGGGAGGAAACTGGAGTACATGGAGGAAATCCACACAAGTACAGAGAGAACATGCAAACTCCTTGTAGATAGTGAACTGGCCACGATTTGAACCCGGGACCCCCCAGTGCTGTAAGGCAGAAGTGCTAACCACTACACCACTGTGACACGGTATATTGATGTTTATAGCATAGACCAGGGGTAGTGAATTAAAATTCAAGGAGGTCTTGAGTACAATTTTCATTGAGCAGGGTCTAAATCGTGGTCTGCCATTTAGGGACCCCTGGCATAGGCATTGGGCTTTGCTCCCCCCTGAGGATATATCTGGTGCATATTTATGATATGTTTTAGCTATAAAATTTTTGAACTATTGTGTGTGACATTTGTGTGTTTGACAGGTGTTATTTACATGACTGAGCATAGCAGTAGCATAGCGTAGCATAGATGTCCCCATTCTTTCCCACTACAAGCCCCCAAGACCACCCACCACCCGTCCTTGTAAGGAATAACTAGACCACACTCCAAAATGGTATAAAATGGCCTTGGCAGCCTTTTATTAACAAATTTGATATATAAAAACATACTTGGTTACCAGCTAACCAGGGGCACTGATCTCCAGACAGCCTAACTCTCCCTGGCACTCCGGGAGTCTCCCGCTCCTGGCCACTAAGGAGAGATACACTGCTTTTTCTTTTTTTTTTATTCTGACACGGAGCATGTCAGAATAGAAAAAAAATAAAAATAATTCTTGGCCATAGGAATGCATTGCTAGATTCCTATTGGCTATTTCAATTTGCAATAGCCAAAAGCAAACTAGCATTGCACCCGCCCTAGCAGAGGGCGGGTACAATAGCTAGTTTGCTATTGCAAATTGAAATAGCCAATAGGAATTTATCAATGCATTCCTATGGCCCGAAATTATTTTATTTTTTTTCTATTCTGACACGGCAGAGCATGTTCGGCCTACCCGAAGCCACCCGATATATGGCTGATTTCAGCCGATATACGGCTGAAGTCAGCCGTACCAGCCTGAAGTGAATAGCCGAACAGCGTTCGGCTCACTTCGCTTTAGGTCGGTCATTCACTCGGCTGCCTACGGCATCTTAGTGAATAGACCCCATAGTGTTTCCTCACATTGGTGGTCAGAGAGAAGAATGTTCCTTACATTGGTAGACTATTGGGAAGAATGCCCCCCTTAAAGGTGGATTCAAAGTTCATTAGTGTCAATGGTTATTTATTTGAGAGGCAGACATTGCTAATTGCTTAAGGAACCCCTAGCAACCTTTGGAGGTACTTCAGGGTTCCAGGAAACCCTGTTTAAGAAAAGCTGCTATAAAGTATGCAGGTTTTATCATCCTGAATATGTTTACCCAAAACAGTAAACCTGTATTGATAATAAACACAGACTCAAGTTTATGAGAGATGCTGTAATTGGTTCAAAATAGTTTAATTTTAGATTATGCTCATGCCGACTGCCCAGTAATACATCTCCTGCATGCTCTAATGTGGGGTACATCAGTGTATGTTGTGAACGATTATATTTTTTTGTTCTGAGTCCAGCTAATGTTTGAATATTACTTTTTCCAGAATTGACCACAACTACCAGCACTTTCTTTACAACTGTATACAACTCTTCAGGTAGCGGCTATGTACAGGATTGCCCTCAGTTCTATGATGACTACTGCTATAATGAGGGCATATGCATATATTTACCAGCAGTAGAAGAATACGGATGCATGTAAGTCAACAGAATTAGATAATTTCCTATAATTTACAGACTTTGTAATTATATTTACATATATCTGCTCTCTATAGGTTATACAATAATCTATTTTGCTGTCCAATCCAATCCAAGTTTTTTTTTGTTAAACCTTTCCCAATTACAGGTTATGCATTTAGACAGGGAACTCTGCATCTTCCAGTTAACATATAGGATGACTATAACAAGTAGTTTTGGATGCGTGGGGAAGAATTGTAGAGATATCACCTCACTTTCTGTACTGGTTGACGGTTGTCAAGAACAGACAGAAATGAAGATGTGATGGAGGGTCTGATCATTCTCCAGTCTAAAAATATATTTCTTCATTGCAGTCTGTGTCTGTTAGTGAGATTGTATCTTATTTCCTGTTCTGACATGACGGGAAGTGAGAGGAAGCCTCCCCATTGGGGAATTTAAGATGACCTTATGCATATCTAGACTCTGATTATACAATACCACAGGGGCGTCCCAAGGCCGGATGTCACCCGTAGCGGAGACCGGGTGACACCCCACCGTGACCGCGCATGCGTGATGACATCATCACGCATGCACGGTCATCTAATTGACGGCTGCCGGCGGCCATCTTAGTGATGGATGCCAGCAGAGAGAGGAGGGGACGCTCACCCGGCGGGATGAGGTATGCCGCCGTATCCCCTCCTCTCTCCTGACACTGTCGGGCTCTCGGTCCATGACCGAGTGCCTGACTTTTTAGAGGGGGTGGCACCAAAATGACTGTGAGTCATTTTGGTGTCACCCCTCCAATGGTATCACCAAGGTGCGGGTCGCACCCCCCTATTGACGCCACTGCAATACCATTAACTGCCATATGAGACTTATCGTTACTGTCAATCCTGTTCTGATGACATGACAGGAAGTGAGAGGAAGCCTCCCCATTGGGGAATGTAAGATGACCTTATGCGTATCTAGACTCTGATTATACAATACCATTAACTGCCATAAAGATCATTACACTAAATTGGAATCTGCTTAGATATCATAGAAAGTTTCTAAATGTTATATGAAAACGCAACAATGTTTTATAATTAGTTTGGATTGTATATGACACTATACGCATTGAGATTTAGCGTTAATGTTAATTCCATTTTATTTCAAGTTTTCAATAGTATAAGCTAATACGTTTAGATTGTAAGCTCTCATGGGCAGGGCCCTCCTTACCATTTTGTCTTGACTTGAACTGTAATTGTAATTGTCTTCCTTATATTGTAAAGCGCTGTGCAAACTATTGGCGCTATATAGTCCCTGAATAATAATAATAATCATAATAGTAATAATATTATAATATCTAAATGCTACATTGTTTAAAATCCAGTAGGTGGCGATGTTGTCCTATGAATTGTAGTTCATAGGACAACATCGTAAGTATAGCTAAAGCCATTTTTTCATTTTGCATAGCGGCAATACCAGTCAGTAGGCTCACTGTAGGATATGGTACCTCTAAACCACAAGGGCCATCACAGTTCTAACACTGTTTTGCTTGTGGTATATGTTGTTGCCAGCAGTTGCTAAAGGATACATTCTCCTTTAAATGCAGTATCAAGATTCTGTCCCTGTCTTCCACTCTGCACCATATTGGTAAATCTTACAATAAGCTGTAGTTTACATTGCCGAGCTTGCAGGGCTGGAACAGTTTTTGTAGTTACATTTTTAGTGAAAGAATTTTCAATGGAATTTTCTTACAAGTGTCTAGCAGCTTCTTATATAATAGCTAGGAGACACAGGGGCAGCGTTTAAGGTCTCAGGCACTTCCAGTACTACACTGCAATTAAGTGCATGCATTTTGAGATAGCATGGAGTAAATGGTTATCCTGGTCAAATGAACAAAACTGTAAAACTGTAAACAGCTGCAAACTGACTCACTGCCCCAGCCCTGGGCACGCTAGGCAGGGTCACCTACAACACCATTTAAAATAAATATATAATTTTTGTGTTACTGTTTACTGTCTTGGTATATTTGAAATGTGTGTAAGTGCATTGTGTGAATATCATAATATGTTACATCCTATTTCAGCTGTGTGAACGGATATTTGGGAGAACGATGCCAGTTTAATGACCTGAAGTGGTGGGAGCCACGATCAACTCAGATGAGGATTCGCAGTGTTACCATCGCTGTGTCATTGGTTGTCCTCTTCCTAACTGTGGGCCTTGGGTCTTTTGTAATATACTATTACAGGTGACTGCAATAAATACTCATGTAATTTACCTATATGGAAACTTAATTTAGTAGGCTAATGCAAAGTGTAATAACCCACGAAAACCAATTAGATTTTAATTTCCTAACATCAGATCAATAAAAGATAGATTTTCCTTGTTTTCTGTAGGATATAACACATTGTACATCGCTCTTTACTTTTCTAAATGCGCACACATACTATACAAAGATTATACATTATTATACTCTTTCATAGAAAGTTATTAATTCTAGATTTGGAACATGAAAAACATAAGGTTCAATTCATGTGTTTGTATGTGTTAAAACAGATAATTGCATCTTACCCCTTTTTTTTGCACAGTTTGATGTTGTGCAGTGTGGGTGCATTGTCTGCTTTTGTAACAGTGTGTGAATTATTATGCAATGCAGTAGCACGTGGTAAAATCCACCAATCTGAGTGGGCCCTTAGAGTAAGTCACGCTTCAGACATCCCTGACAAAATGTCACTCCTAGCATAACTTTTAAAAAGGGAGGATTGTATAATGGACAAGAAAAAGAGTATAGCAGTAAGAAGCAGTGTCCTAGGTATATCAGATATACCTACCCTGCAGTTAGGGAAATGCTGAGGCAGCCATTACTGACTTCTTTCTGAAAATAATTTTTGCTAGTGCTGACTGTCTCTGGCTTCAGCTGAATCAGTGATCAGAAATAGGCATGCAGCAAGCGAAGTTGGAATGAAGTTGGCACTCTGAACTAGGGTTGCCACCTGTCCAGGATTCACCCGGACAGTTCGGGCTTTGAATGCTGTGTTCGGGTTTCATGGCAGCAGAAACCCGGACACAAGATGTCAGGCAGACAGGGGCAACCAAAATTAAGATAGGGGCTACTGGCCCCGCACTGAAAATAGTCTCTACTGTGATATTTACGTATGAATGGGTGACGCTTTTTACATATGAACACGCCACGACTCATTCTCCCACAAAAATGACCATGCGTTGCTGGATTGTTCGGGTTTCGCTTGAAGAAAAGGTGGCAACCCTACTCTGAACCTGCATGCTTTTTATGAAGTAGTGGCCTAGAAAGTAGTGAAGTCATTGGATCATCATGAAAGCCAGACAACTAGTATTTTCAAAAGGAATGGTAAACAATAGTAGTTACTATACTTGCTCACTTCAGGTTTCTGTTATGTCATGCATTTCAGGTTACTGTTTTTGGGTCTCATTCAGCCCTTTCATTTCTTCATGTGACCTTTAACCGGTTTTAGAGTTTATTCTGAATTAGTCCCCAGACCGTTTCCCAGCTGATAAAGACCACATGTGTCATTTTGAAGTTAAAAGTTCATAAAATCATTTATGGACAATTTCTCAGGAATAAAAGAGTGCATTTATTTCTATAATGTTAGTTCCTTGTTCTGAAAATATGTTTTCTGAAATTATACGACCTTTTGAACATTTCTTCCAGAAAAGAATAAAAGAAAATAGGGGTTTCTAAATGTACTCCTTTGTACCTTTAGACTCAGACTCAAATTAGATTAAAAATGGTCTTTGGTGGTAGCACTCAGCATGGGTTTGGTGTGAAGTTGACTCCTGATCCATATCCACTTGTGTACTCAACAGACGGTATAAAAACGTCAGGAATTGTATGGTTAGATCTGGTATCTGCCCATGTACTGTATGCCTCCATTGTACATCCTTGTCTATTTTCCTCTTTACAATCTGACGTGGTTTTTCTTTAGCATATTAAGCTAATTAAATTAGTTACAAACAGTATTAACATGCATTCTTCATTTGGGATGATTTATTTATTGTAAAACTTCCTCCTCCCCAAGGATGCACAACACTTAGAAATGCTGATATTGTAATTAAAAGCGGACACATATAATGACACTTATAAAAAGTATGCAGCCCCTTAGAAGTTTTCATGGATTTTTGTCGTAAAACAGAAATAGCCTCTTTCATGTCAATGTAAAAACAGATTTCTGCAAAGTGATTTAAATTATTGAAAAAAATACACATACTATCTGACTGCATAATATCAATCCCCTTCACATTAACATGTAGTAGATGCACCTATGGCAGTCATAACAACCTTGTGAGTGAACAGCCTTATTCATGTGCGGCAACAAATTGTCTATTGGAGTGAAATTTGGACTTCACCATTTCAGGTTTAGGTTATTGCCTTGTTATTATTATTATTATGATTATCATTCAGAAATTATATAGCGCAGCCGCCAACAGTTTGCACAGTTTAGAAGACAGTTTGGAAGACAAGTCTTCTTTCTAGGCTTGGAGTTTCTGCAGACTGCATTAAGTTTTCTTTTAAGATTTCCCTGCATTCCGCTGCATGGCTTGCTGCAGAGAAACATCCCCCCACCAATGTCTCATGGCAACCCCACCATGCCCACGTTTATGATGATGTGCAGTGTTTGGCTTACGCCAAACAGGGAGCTTAGTCTGGTGCCAAACCACTTAATTCTGGTTACATAAAGGTGCCCATACACAGGTCGAATTTCGGCTGGTTTTTAATGTACCTCATTATGATCAGCTGATTGAAGGAGCCTGCTGGAAAATGTTCGAGCAATCAGAACTGGCACCTGTCAGAATAAAATGTAAACAGCAGGATTCCTCGATCGACATGCTGTTTGTGTTGATGGAGGAATCGGGTCAATTTTTTCACCACAGGTTGTATGAAAAAAGCTTGATAGGTGTATGGCCAGCCTTAGACCATAAAACCTTTTTGCAGCTGATTCAAAGTCTCCAGGGGCCTTCTGGCAAACTGTTGGTGAGATGCCATGGGAGATTAGGTTTACAGTGGCTTCCTGTTTGCAATTTTTCAATAAAGCCATAGGTCTCTTGGTGGCTGTCCTTACTAGTCTCCTTCTTGGTCACTTACATTTAGTAGGCAGCCTGTTTCCACTTCTTAATGATGATTTAAGTGCACTCCAAGAATGCTCAGTGACTTAGAAACGTTCTTGTATCTATCCCCTGACTTTTCAATCAGTTTTCCAGTTGCATGGAGTGTTTTCTTTGTCTTCATGGTGTAGATTATGCTATGATACTTAGCCACCAGAAGTTGGACCTTCTAGATAATAGGTACTAGTATATATATAGTATAATATAATCATGTGAAACTCATTTACTGACTACATACAGGAAAGCTGTATTTAACTAATTATGTGACTTGGGGAAAAAAATTGGCTCCACCAGTGAAAATGTAGGTGTGTCATATTAATAGAAGTTTATATTTAGATTGCCAGATATTTTATGATTTTTATTATTAATCTAAATCACTTAACAGAGATCTGTTTTCACTTTGACATGAAAGTTCATTTCTGATTATTGTTGTAAACAATATTACACTTTTTTAATGATCTTAATCTGAATGTTACACATACATCTCTCTATATATACTGTATATATAAAATTGAAGATAAAATAAAAAGATTCACCCAATACCACTGTAATTTTTCTTGTATTGATGGTCATAAATGTGCTGTACCTTCAGAAAAAAAATGAACCTTCCTGCAGGCCCTTAAAATGACATATTTCTAATTACTCACTTGACCTCAATAATATTAGTCTTCCACTACTTATATTCTCTTTAAAATGTTTCTGAAAATGGCTTTATAGCACTGAGCATCCATTTCTGAGAGCAAATGGCCCTGATTCCTGCTGAGAGCTGGCATGTTTTGATTGAATTTCAAAAATATAACATCATGGTAATCCCTGACTTCCTTAAAAAGAGACTGCCATCTGTTCCTGATTTAGCCATCACATCAGTTATCTTAGCTATCTTGACTTGGATGTCTGTGTTTGCTGTGGCTCTGCTTAAAGTTTAACTGAGCCATGAAAACATTACATCTATGTCACATGTGAAGACATCTGGTGAGAAGATGGCTTCAGACTCACACGCTACTGCACCAGAATAGCATCTAGTCTGACATGTTGGTGTACTTGATGACAATACATGTAGCTTTGCTAGAAAACATATGTGCTATACAGAGGAATATGCCAAAGTAACTGATTGGTGGTAGCGTAAGAGTTGCAAACCCTTGTTCAATTTAGAAGCTCTATCCAGGGAGTCCACATTGCCTCAAATCTAGGAAGCGTGTCTTCCTGATGGGCAAAAAACATTGCATGGGACATGTTATTAGGAAAACAACGGTAAGTAAAATATAGTGTCTGTAATTGCTGACTTCTCCTTTTGAAAATGCTGGTTGGCTGTAAAAGTTTATGTGAAACCAGGTCAGTGACTCAGAAAGAAGTCTTGATATTTCTGTTTTGCGTTGCTGTTATAGCACACTTGTTTCCTGTATTTTCTGGTGCAATACATTTTTATTAAATTTTCAAATATAAAATGGCAATCATACATGCAAAAACATAAAGGTTACAGTCAGCAAAAATGATACAAAAGATATGTATACAAAGAAACACAGTAATCCAAGTAGGTGTGATAACAGTAAACAAGTCTATTTCGCACCCCAATGATATGAAAGGCACTTTTCAAATGACAGAGGTGCAAAACAAACAATAAAAATGACAGCACAAAACAAAATAGTCTGTTTGTCATTCCTGGTGTAGATCTAGTCACTGGCAAAAGAGGAGCAAGGAAAAGGAAACAAGAAGGAAGACAGAGCAGACCAAGAGAAGGGAAGAGTCCATCCCTCTGGCATCCCCCAGAACACACTAAACCAGCCCTACTATATAGTTAGAGAGGACTTTTGGAACCCCGAGAGAAAAAAATGCTCTATCCATGGAGTCTACACTGCCTCAAATCTAGGAAGTGTGTCTTCCTGATGGGCAAAAAACATTGCATGGGACATGTTATTAGGAAAACAACGATAAGAAAGAGTGGGGGTCCTCCAAGAACACACAATCACACGCTTGGCCGCTATAAAAATATATTGCAGCAGTCAAAATTTGTTTTTTTTTAATTAAGAAGTACTATATACGGGTCTCTGGGAGGTGAGGAACCTAACGCTGCCACTACAATGCGAAGAATCCTAGACCAAAATTGGGAGACCACAGGACATTCCCACCAAATATGAGAAAACGTGCCCTCAGCCTGACAACTCCTAAAACAAGTAGAGGGATACATTGGAAGCACTCTAGCTATTCTCGAAGGGACCAGATACCAGTGCATGAGCAATTTATAATTCGTTTCCAGGGCTAATACATTCAACGAGTTCCTAGGGATATTGTCCCAAATACGGAACCAGTCCTCAGGGGAGGTGCAAGCACCCAGATCAGACGACCACCTATCAACATAGGAGGGTAAGGGCAACTGTAGCACCAAGAAGTTCAGAGTATAACTCCTGGAGAGTGATGGTTGAAAGCACAGAGGCGTTCAAATTGCGTGCTTCGGAGAGCATCAGGATGGCGGCAACGTAAATCTTCCAAATAATGTTTGATTTGTAGGTAGCACAATAATTCTCCTGTAGGGAGATGATACTTAGCTTGTAAAGTAGGAAAACTCCTAACCCCCCCTGGAATTAATCAACTTGTCAACAGTGATAACATCGTCAGCAATCCAACGATGAAAAGATTCTCCATTCCAGGTGGGAAAGAAGGATTTCCTATCAGAGAAAGCAGAGGGATGTGAGGGAAAAGTAGGCCCCTTGAGTACTTCACGTCATCCCACAATTTTTAGAAAATGAGCCATGAGGGGAACATTCAGCCCCCTTCTCCATTTTGGTTGTAACCAAAGAAGGTTGGAAACCTCCTTAGTAGCATTCCCCATCACCAGTTGAGTTAGTTGAGCTGCATAATAATATTTAGACACATGGGGATGCCCTAAGCCACCTGAAAGTTTGGGGTTGAACAGAACCAATTGTGAAACTCTAGGTCTTTGCCAAATAAACCTGGAGATCTGCTATTGAAGGACATGGATACGATAACAAGGCACGTCTACAGGTAGTACCCTACCATAATACTGAAACTTAGGGTGAAGGGTCATCTTGACCGTGGCAATCCTGCCCATTCAAGAAATATTATAGGGAAAGGTATGATATAACAGGTCCCTCAACAGCCTGAACAATAAGGCATAGTTAGCTTGATGTAGAGTGTCATAAGACCTAGTGAGGAAAATGCCCAAATATGGTAACTTGTCTCGAACCCACGAAAAGGGAAAGTAATTTTGAATATGTGTAACCACCAAGGAAGATAATGAAATGTGAGGTGCCTTAGACTTCATAGGATTAACTTGTAAGTAGGAGACCGATCCAAAGTCAGAAAATATTTGTGGAATGGATTGGAATGTTTCCTGTATTTTAAGGGACTCAAGGGACAAGAGATCTTCACCAGATTTCTCACCCGAGATCAAGTGCCGCAGCTATTACACATCCAAATGGTTATATCACACTCTGTCAATGTTCATCATAGGGTAAAATATGTAAATAAGAACAACCTTTATGTGTTAAAATCATAAAACGTTAATAAGATAATAATAAAAAGCATTCACAAGGATATAGTGGTGGAGCAGCTTGTCACACGCCAATGCAGAAGATCTGATAGGCCTTCTGGGTTGTAGCGAAGCAGTGCCATTGCTATGGAAATGTGGGTTGCTACTAAGATGTGAGGATCCCTTAGAGGCTGCTGTCCTTCCAACACCTGTTGGGTTTGAAGTTCTGCTTACTTGCAAGCATTCTGGATGGCTTCCTTTTCCACACAGCCTCTCCGCTGGTCATGGGGGTCTGTCAGATCTTCTGTATTGTCTTATGACAAGTTGCTCTACTCCTATATACGTGTAAGGGCATTTTATTGTTATCTTATTAAAGAGATTGTGGTTTTAATGGCCAAAGGTCACCTAGCATCCTGTCCTCATGTTCCCTACATCTTATGGATTTTCGCTGTTCAGCTGAGCTAAGGGGCTGCATGACTGGTGTATTTTAGGACCCTTTTGGGATATTAACCCTGCCTTACCTGGAAACTCCCAAACGCAAGTTGCAACTGGTTTTTTTTTTTGTTAGAATGTGGAAATTATAGAGTTCAGGGAAAAAAGATAGCGACACCGTTATTATATCCCTGTAGAATATAGGCAGAAACACATGCTTAAGTGGAAATGTCTCTTTAATAGAGTCTGTAAGAGATCAAATATGTGGGTGATATGGTCTATCTGTACACTCCCCTAATAATATTACAGTGGCCTGTAAGGTTTGGCCTGAAAAAAAGCATTTTCAGTGACACTTAGGACTAAGGACACTAAGTAACTTTTCATTTAAGTTATATTAGTATATAATATCTTCTTTTCAATTGGCAAATACATATAGGAATAGTGTGAACACTACTGAACAAGCAATTTAAAGTGGAGCTATTGCACATATGTTTGGTTACTTTACAGTGCAGGACAAAGATTAAAACACCGGACCCAACTGGTTAGCAGAGAAAATAACTCCATTCCTCTTTTCCTGTTCTTTGTTGTAGCACAAAAGAAACAAAGTGATTGGGGAACCTGAATACTAGATACATAAAGCTATATTTGAATTTCTTTGTGTGACTTTATAATGAACTAGATTCGACCATAGACCAAAGAGTATGGTCATACATGCAGGGACCATCTACCACCTGGAGTCTTGCCTGTTGGCTGGATATTATATACATATGTACAACTGGATGTCCCAATGCATACATGTTTAAGAAAGCAGAATGGAGAGGAGGGAGAACAGTTAGATATCTCTAGCACTAATTGTAAATTAAAGAATAATGATTTTGTAACTTTTTTTTTTACCTGTCCAATCAGCCCTTTAGTGATGGTCATGAGATAAACATGAGATTTTCGCCTTATCTGGCGAAAATCCATCACCTTGAGTGGCAATAAACTTATGTGCATGGCCAGTACAGAGATCTGATTTGCTATAAGGATGCATACCACCTGTACTACGTCATTATTAGCACAGCATTCTTTAAACACTACCTAGATCAGTCTGACTTACTGCATTCTTCTATTTTTGTTTTCACTGTAAGGCATCAGCTCATACAAAGCAGAAGCATTGACGGGCGCCACATCGAGCCATATTAGCAACATGCAGAAGCCAGCCCGAGGTACAGTAATACTTTATTATTAATATGTCGCAACACAGGATCAAAGGGCAGTGGGGATCCACTTGAGATTATCCATGAAATAATTCACATCTTCTATACATTAAGTAGCTGCCAGAGTCATTGAGTGCTTTGCCCTGAACTCCAGGTCATCTTACTTCATTGTTATCCCTCTAAGTTCACAGCTGCTTGGATGTTCTGCAGCATTGAGCCAGTGTTATTGTTAGCCCCAGCACACAACAGTTGGAGAGCCGAGTCTAAATTAAGGAAATGGCAAAGCGATGACATGGTGTATTGTTGTGAGACACCAACAAATTAGTGTAAACCCGAATATTTTCACAAACAGCTTTTGTAAAATTACATTGAAAACATTTATTAGTATCTCTCATATATACAATATGATCAGGATTTGGGGCCAACGTGTCTATTACAGTGTTTCTGAATGGGATACCCATTGCAAGATAAACCTCCTGTATCCTTCACATCCTGCTTGTGTCTTGGCAGTATTTAGATTACATATATGCAGTGGCTGGATGCAAAAACACGTCTAGGCTCCATGTGAAAATGCTGGTGTTAATCCCATTCAGGAGCGCTCTTTCTCTGGCTCTGCACAGGAACAGCAGTGCCAGTGTTAGTGACTGCAGCCCCACTTTTTACAGAGGGCTTATTTCCACATGGCACTTAACCAATAAAGTTTACCCTCTGCTGTTTGGCTCAGTACACCTCATCTATAACAGGAATACTTGGTGGGTGTGATAGTTTAGCATTCTACAAACCTATGCATTTATCAAATACTTTTGTGAGGTTTGGTTAAAACATAGTCATGCATGTGTTGTAAAGTAGCCACTGCTCCAAGCTCCCTCCCGTGGTGGGGTACAATCTCTATACAAATAAGTAAACTAAACCTGAGATTATAGTTCATCACAGTGTCACCATCAATTCAGAGATGAATTGAAGATCTACAGCAGAGTGATACACAAATAAGGTACATTTCTGTTAATAGTTAAGGCTTGAATGCATTTTTAAGATTTAACTCCTGAGTCTAGTGTCACTTTAATATTAGTAAAAGGCTAAACATGCTATACAAGGCAATAAAACCATCATTATTTAATTGAATACATATTCTTTAATATTCAAATAGTACTATCTGATTCATTTCAGTTTTATTTTATAAATATACCATCAGTGCTTCTATAGCAAAAAAAATCAGCAGATATAGCATAACCATTTAAGTTTTCATTAAATGAGAACTACGGGGTAAGTGTTTTTCCACATAGTTCTCTTTAGGGTCACGGGAGGACATAAACTAACCTCCTCCCGTGACCAAAGATCAGTATATAGCGGGCTATTGCCGACAATACTGTCTGGAACCACCCAGCTGCGTGAGTGACAGCTGGCTCTGCCTATCTAGAGGCAGAGCCAGCTGTTCCCGCCCCATTGGTTCCCCCACTAAGCGCTGAAGGATCGGAGAAGGGAGGGGGTGACTGATAGTCACCGTTCTCTGCAGGGAAAAGTGAGCAAGCGACGGTATGTGTTCACTTACTTCCCGATCAATAGGGCCGACCTGTGACAGCTTCTTTCTCACAGGTCGGCTCTAACTATGAGGATGAGTGGAAATCTCCTGAAATTAAGTGAAATATTTGGAAAGCATGGAAAAAGCAAAAACAACTAGAGTTGCTTTAGATCATTTCAGAGGTTAGATATGTACTGAGAAAAATATCGATGCTGCCCTTTTTAGCCTTCTGAAAAAGGTAATTAGCCAGGCATCTAGAATTTTTAGAGGTCTGCACCTGCAGCATCCGTATTTCTCTCACTAGAGTTTGCCTGTGAGCTATGGGTTCTAAACTAGTATACGTCTAGCCTACAAATTCACCAGAAATGATAGCATCACTGAACCTTTAGTAAACAACTTGACCAAGGCTTAGTGCCGCTCACAATAATCACTGTTCCTACTTTGTATAGGCTACAGGGACACTGAAATACTTTCAAAGTCCAGCAGGGGTTCTTTAATAAGTTAGCCACTGAGGATGTAGCTTTTTGGGTGTCTGTAGCTACAATCACACCATTATGTATCACACCATATCACACCATTTTATTACAGTGCCCACCTACTTTCTTACCCATGAAACAAATTAAAATGTTGCCAAAAGATCCCTTGAATCCCCAGGCCCCAATATACCTTAGCTGCATGCACTATCTGTACTAATGAACAGATGCAGTACAGTGATATCAGTTCTTGACTCTGAGAATGGCCATTTTCAATAGATTGAGCACCCTGGATGGTAGAGCACAATGGTTTAATATAAACTGGAAAACCCATAAAAAAACCTCAAACCTCATCTTTATTGACTTTGACTTGTAATTCCATATGATCACGGATGTCTTAGGGATCTGTCTTATCAGACACTTGGCTCATAAGAATATATGATGCATTGTGGTGGAGGCGGTATAATTCATTTTTCATTATTTATAGAATAATATAATGTATATGGTAATAAAATGATGAAAAATAAATTGCACTTGGAAGAAACATATATCTCTTCATAATTTCTGTCTCAGAAAATCTAAAATGTCAGCTAGGTGGATAAAAATGACCAACCGTGTTTACTGTCAGGCGGACCACTTGTGTCTGTTACAGGAGACTGGCCCATATTCATTTTATTTACCAAGCCATACTTAATTTGTATTTTCCTACACAGGATTTATTGCCAGGTGGATGTTTTCTTACCATTAATAAAGATTGTGCAGAAAAAGCCTATGTCTCACAGTGACATTTAGGGAGATGTAGTGCTGAAATGTCTCTTTGTACCTCAGGTCAGGTTTCTTATTGCTTTTAAAGCTATGCCAGTATATTGGGTGTCAACTGAAAGCTTCTCTTCAAGGTAGCATTACAGCACATCTTTCCCAGACAAGAGCATGCTCCATACTGTATCTGTCTTTATGTATGTGTGATTATGCATATGTGTGTTGTTACACATGCTTTGCAAATTTAGGGGCTTTATTTCTGTCTATCTGGAAACATACCAGCCAGTGACGGAAAGAGGTCCACCCTGGTTTCTTAGCAATCTGAAAATTGCAGCCCCTGCTTTCTTCTGCATGTACACCTGCTTGTGAAATGTAGTCAGGTATAATAGCACTCTACTTGTATCCTGAGCCCGACGGAGACACTTTCAGGGCTATTCACAAAGGGGGTGAAGAGTTTGGAGAAGGCAGGAGAAGTGAACAATCTAGGACAACATAGCGGAACTAGAAATTGAGCTGAATTGGAGAATCAAATTTCCAAATCAGCTATGTTGTCCTAGATTGTCCACTTCTGCCTTCTCCAAACTCTTCACCCTTTAGTGAATAACCCGGTTTGTTTCTCAGAGTAATGTAAACAGCAGCTGGACTGGGTTCCTACGCAAATGTACTTTCACTAAAATCACTTGTACTTGCTGTTGATTTATCTGCATTCCTTCTTTTGTCAGTGGCCAGCAAGACTGTGAAATCGGAGAATGAACATGTAATTGGTCTGTGAAGAATAAAGCAGAGCTTCTACAATGTATAAACTAACATGAACATGCAGAACCTGAATTGTAGAGGAACGTGAAACAGAGAGGATTCAGCACCAATAAGAAGAACTTGAATCCTCTATGCGGTTCTACAGTTTGGAAACTATTTTACGCGGGTTTCTTATTTGACTGACACTGTTATACTCCAAAATGTGCAGTTTTTATAACATGAAATGGTTAGTTTACATTGATCCCAGTGCTATTGAGCAGATCAAGCTACTATCTAGAGTGCAGTTAACCATCTTTTTTTGTACTTTCCTGAGGAAACGTTCAGACTACTATACGATAGCATTTTTTGGACTGAGCCAATGGGTCAAATGATCCCGAATCCATATTTAAGGACTTGCTGTTGAAATCCAGTCTCCTATATCCATTTAGTGGATTTGTAGACTACATTATAGAAGATAGGTAGGTTTCGAAGTATGTATTTATGCTCACAGCTCTACCTTTGGCTTGTTGGACATAGTGTAACATAAAAGGAGTGATTTTCTAAGGGCTTGTTTACATCTCTCTGTATTCTTTCCCTTAATCCAGCAGTTAAAGCAGAGCTCTGGGGAAATTCTTTATTAACCCTTGTAGAGGGGCTACCCCCGCACTGCCAGGGTTAAATAATCATTTTGGTCTAGAGAGGACAATAACAAACAAACAAACCCGATCCTCTGAGCCACCTTGCTCTTAGAGCCAGTCCCTGGAGCCTCTCTCCCCCGCTGCTGCAGCGGTCTAAGGTCCTGTAAATCATCACGTCCAATACACTGTGTACAGGATGTTAGGACACCAAGGGACATTTTATTGCTGCAGCAGAGGAGGAGACCAGTAGGAGGGAGTGCTGTCACAGCCGGCTGGCTCAGAGGATCAGGTGAGTATAACTTTTCCTCCCTAGACTAAAGTGAGCACTTAATCCTTGCAGTAGCCCCACTGCAAGGGTTGATTAAAAAATTCCCCGAAGTTCTGCTTTAAGTTCTGCTGTAATGTTTGCCATAATGTGCTAATATGCAGAGCATATTAGCACATTATGGCCAATTTGCCTATCACCTCCAGCACAGTGCTGTCCACTCTCCCCATCGCCATTTTGCCATCTTCTCCCGGTCTTTTTCCAGGTTTGGCATCTTTGGCTTCTTGATTGGCCAGCAGACATGAGGCAACTCCCGCGCATGCACAGCTCGACATGCCAGGTCTGTTCACTGAGCACTGAGTGTGCAGGAAAAAGAAAAACTGCTGACAATTTTTCAACAGATCACATTACTTCTGCTTTAAAGTGTATTTCCACTTTTGCAGCCAAATTAGGATAACACCTATTGTATATTTGTTACATATTTCTCATTCACATCGCATAATTATAAAAAAAAAACAAAAACATAAATTACCGCTTACACAAAACATGTTCAATTCTGAAAAGTTGTTCTGTGTACTGAATATCCCTCTGGAACACAAGGTGGGTTAGGAGATTAATGTTAACATCATTAACCCTGTCTGTACTGTGCTGGCATATGTCAGATCTCTGATCTATATTTGAAACACTGTCCTAAGAAAGGGTTAAAGGAGAACTATGGGGTAAGTGTTTTTCCACATAGTACTCCTAAGGGTCGCGGGAGGACATATACTAGTGACCTCCCGTGACCCAAAGCTCAGTATATCGCAATCTACAGCTCACGGTATACTGAGACCACCACAGCCGGGATGGATCCCGACATTACTGTCGAGATCCACCCAGCTCCGTGAGTGACAGCTGGCTCTGCCTATCTAGAGACAGAGCCAGCTGTACCCACCCCCTCCCCGTCCCTTCCTCCAATCAGCGCTGGAGGATCGGAGCGGGGAGCGGAGAATCACTGCAAGGAGATGTGAGGGACAGTCACGGCTCTCTACAGGGAGATGATCGAGAAGTGAGCGATCGACGTTATGTGTCCGCTCACTTACCGATCTTTTGAGACGGCCTGTGACAGTTTCATTGTCATTTCATTTCATTTCATCCTTTAAGGATCTGGAAATATTGTATGTTAATGAGAGGAAGCTCAACCTGTCCCTAGTCTTTCTATAAGGACAGTCAGAGTTTTCTGTTACTGAAACTGAGAGAGAAGCTTGCAAAAGCCAGCTACACAGACACATCTAAAAGGTAAGGAATATATTTTTAAAAATTGGTTTTAGGTATATTTTGTTTTTTGTGAATTGGAACACATAAACTATAGAGGGGTTTTCTCAAATGTCACTGCAAGTGGAAGCACACTTTAAATTTCAATACATTTGGGACAGAAGCTCCATTCACCAGTGCTCAAGAATGAATGTGCTGTATTCTCATTGTTTTCACCATATTAACTAAAGGCTATCATGGAATGGCACCTTTCACAGCAGTTACATTGTTCTAAAAACCTTGTGTAAGTGTGATCCATAGTTTTTCAAGCTCTTTTGTGTATAGAACCCCTGGCCAAGCTTGAATCAGGTTCACGGAACGTGTTTATTAAAAAATCTATTTTTTTTACATTATAAAGGTGAATATTTCCATTTGGCCTGAATGTCTTTTAGCAACAAAGATATATCCAGGCAAGTATAAAACTTACATCCTGTAGTAAATTACTGCCAAAGCTTGTGCTTCACCCTTACCTTGATGTGTATTGTTGTAGTTACGCAGCTAACATCCCCAGATCTAAATAGGATAGTACGATGGGCATCATAAACAAAAGTAAGAACACTGTGACAAACAAAAATGTGTCTTTTATATTTAAATGTTGTCTAACATTATTGGTAGTTGGTGACATCATTGCAGTTGGTAGAAGCTGGTGAAACACCAGTGATGGAAATAGCAAATGCATTTTGCTGCTTGTAATGGCTTCAAAACGTTGTATATAAAGTAATTTAACCCTTCATAAACTTGCCAGCCTTGTTATTGTGTATGCTTCAACTGGCCACAAAAAAACTGAATGTAGGGAGAACGAAACAACATTTTATGAAGGTTATTAAAGCTGAACTCCTGGCAGTTATTAGAAATCAGCAATCAATACAGTTATTTAAACAATAAAAACATAATTAAATTACATCTAAATCCAAAAACAAAAATGTCATATATCGCAGCGTATCTGTCCTTAGATGTGGTGGCTGTGTTAGTTATCTGTTTTTATGCATTTTGTTTCCTTCATTTTCACCTGGTCATCCTACCAGTAACACGCATCCTGTCCCAGAGTGACACTCTTCATGCTTTATCTATGGAGGAACAGTGCATACAATAGAACAGGAATGTTAGGACTACAAAGCTAGCTGGGAACATTGCTAACTGATAACAGTCAGCAGAGGCAGAAAGCACAGGAAGATATCAGCAAACTAGATTTCTGGACGAATCAACAGGTATTTTCTGAGCTTGCAGCATCTTCAAATATATAGCAAAATGCTTTCAATTATATAAACAACAGACTAAAAAAGAGAATAGACGTTTCAATTATATAAACAACAGACTAAAAAAGACAATAGATGTTTCAATTATATAAACAACAGACTAAAAAAGACAATAGACGTTTATTGTTAGGGTTAACATACACTTTAAATGTACATTGCCTGGCCAAAAGCAAATGTCACACACTCTAATATTTAGTTGGACCGCCTTTAGATTTGATTACAGCATGCATTAGTTGTAGCATCATGTCGATAAGATTATGCAATGTCACAAGATTTATTTCCATCCAGAGTTGTATTCATTTTTCACCAAGATCTTGTAGTGATGATGGGAGAGCCTGACCACTGCGTAAAGTCTTCTCAAGCACACCCCAAAGATTCTCAATGGGGTTAAGGTCTGTACTCTGTGGTGACCAATCCATGTGTGAAAATGACCTCTCATGCTCTTTCACTTTCACAATTTGAGCCCGATGAATCCTGGCATTGTCATCCTTGAATATGTCAGTGCCATTAGGGTCAGTCAGTACATTCAGGTAGGCAGCGAACCTAATTTTTGGGGGACATAACATTGCTAACCCTCACGTGACCAACTGAAGCAACTTCAGATCATAACACTAAATCCTGGTGGTGACATTTTTTTTTGTTTATTTTTGTTGGGCAGTGTATTTATTAATACAGTTTGTGTATTTACCTGATTCTGTCCACATTTTAACTAATCTCTTACAAGCAAAAAACATAGCTAAAGGTTAGATAAAAGACATAGACAACATAGACCTTACCCTATATTACCAGTATTTTAAATAATTTTAATGTTTAATATATATATATAT